TTCCTATGGGGAAAAAACTCACCTTTAAGCGAAAATCCTCCATCCTGCCACCATTTTCGGTGCCTCTAAAGCGAGGCAACACAGCGGGCGGCCATTTTGGAACCACCAATCAGCTGTGCTTCGGCGCTCTCTCTCTTCACCCCTCGCAACACTGCTGATCGGCGGGGCCTTTGGGATGATAGCGGGGGAGCACTTCCCCTGATCATCGCAAAGCGATTTTTACCTATCTAAAACATCGTTATGCGATCACTTTTGCGATCGCAAAAACTCAATCGCTATGGGGCACTCGTTAAGCGAGGCACCACTGTATATGCTTATTAGTATTATTGTTTTTAAATTTGTAAAACACCCAGAGTAGACCTTTGGTCTAGATGGGTGGGATAGAAATCAATCAATCAATCAATCAATCAATCAATCAATCAATCAGTCAACCAAACAGGTAAACAACCAAACAAGTAAACAACCAAACAAGTAAACAAACAAGTAAATAAGTAAACAAGTAAACAAACAAACAAACAAACAAATAAATAAATACTGTAACTGTGAATTGAGCCTGGACATAAGCTGAGAAGTACTGAAGCACTCCCAATGGGTGTACTATGTTTGTAATGCCTGATTCCAGTCAGTCCTTTGCTACCATACTTTGTATTAGCTGAGGTTTCTGGAATTTCTTCACCAGTTTTGCTGAAAAGCTAGTTGAGTGTTAATATGTTTTCCTTTTATTGACACAAAATTGTCCCATTGTTTGATTTCAAATGTACTAGTTTGAAACAATCCTATCTCTTTAGATTCCGTGTTTCACAAGATGTCATGCATAGTTCTGAATTCTCCAGAACTCTTTTAACAAGCTAAATGAGAACAAATAGATTAGAAAAGAGTAGGGGCAGAAGTTATGGGGGGAGTAGCTGATGCTTAAGCTGAGCAGTTTACATCAGTTTATATCAACCCTTCAAGGAAATACACTGGCATGTTGGGGTTGGGAAAGATACACCTGTTATTTTAAGCTTTTATAAGCACTAGTCAATTTTTTAGAAATCTCTTTTTGCAGAATTACAGTGGACATATCAGCAACACAATGGTTTCAAGGATTAGTTAGTTAGTATAAAAATAAATTAAAAGACACCTGCTTCTTGAGGGAATGACAAACCTCGACAGCATCTTAAAAAGCAGAGACATCACCTTGCCAACAAAAGTCCGAATAGTCAAAGCTATGGTTTTCCCTATAATGATGTATGGAAGTGAGAGCTGGACCATAAAGAAAGCTGACCACCAAAGAATTGATGCTTTTGAATTGTGGTATTGGAGGAGGCTCTTGAGAGTCCCCTGGACTGTAAGGAGAACAAACCTATCCATTCTAAAGGAAATCAACCCTGAGTGCTCACTGGAAGGACAGATCCTGAAGCTGAGGCTCCAATACTTTAGCTATCTCATGAGAAGACTCCCTGGAAAAGACGCTGATGTTAGAAAAGTGTGAAGGCAGGAAGAGAAAGGGATGACAGAGGATGAGATAGTTGGACAGGGTCATCGAAGCTACCAACATGAATTTGACCCAACTCTGGGAGGCAGTGGAAGCCAGGAGGGCCTGGCGTGCTCTGGTCCATGGTGCCACGAAGAATAGGACATGACTAAACGACTAAACAAGAACAATAAAAATAAACCACATGTATAAACAAATATAACAGCAATTGTCTAATAAATCAAGAGCAGGAATCATCAAAATCATCAGTCTATAAAACATTAAGAGAGGATGCTCTCAAAGGCTTCACTAAACATCCTCTTGAAGGCTGTGAGGGAGGACAGGTGCAGCTCCACCAGGAGAGCATTCCAAAGGACCGGGGCCACTATCAAGAAGGCTCTGTTTTTAGTATGTAGATGACTTCCCAGCCTCCCTCGGTGCAGCATGGGCCTGAGAGGATTGGGTGACGTGGGTGGATGTTTTTGGGGAAGGATGTTCGGACAAGTAGTAAGGACTCCCTGCCACTTCCCAACTTCCTCCCTAAACCTCTTATACCACAACCCTTGTACATCCATGAGACCAAAACTTGTCCATAGAAGCTGCACTAATTGGCAGTTTTGGACCAGTCAGAACCTCAATGTGCATCTGTTCTTTGACAGAGACAGAAAACCATAGGTGGCTTAGCAGGTTTATTGCACAGGAGGTTGCAAAAATTGTATTGTAGGTGTGGAAACATTTCTGAATTAATACATTTTTAAGCTCTAAAACTTGACATGGTTCATGGCCTATGAGCTTTTCAACCTAAATGAACTTGAAACTTGAGAGATTAAATATTAATAATGAACTTCTGGATTTTTATCAAATGTCCGTATTGTTTTAGTTGACAGTGATGATTTTTGTTTTCAGGTTGCCTTGCATCTAAAATCAATTTCTTCCATTCACATCCACCGGAAGCCACTGGTATTCTTACTGAACTCTCCTGTGCCCTTGATGTGGAAGGTGAAAATGGAAAGACTTGCCCTGGGGATTCCAAGAGTTTTCATTGTAAGTATTCAAGAGTTCGCCACTTTATAGCATACCATATGCAGTTAATTGATTGATGAGGGTAGACTAAAGAAATGTTAATTAGTTCTCAGATTTCAGGCCAAGAGTTCTTAGGGCCATTTGGTGGCTTGTGAATGAAATTGGAAAGGACTCGGTGATTTCTTTGAACGTGCGTTGAAAATGGATTGTTTTATGGAATTGGCCTTGTTGTGCTGTTGTTGACCATAGTAGGTCTTCCCATGTTTTAAGAGGCTATGTGGCCTGTGGAAAATCACGGACCCTGGAAAGTGAAAGGGTACTAATGTCAGCAGCCAAGAACACAGTCAGAAGTGTTAGGAGGAAACAACATGCCATATTTTTCCATCTATAAGATGCTACTTTTACCTAAAATCATTACCCTAAAATTGAGGGGTGTCTTTTACACGGAAGTAAGCTGAGATAGCTGAGGAGAGAACAAAATGGCACATACCTTTCCTCTGTAAACAGGCTTCCTTCAGACACAAGGCTTAGTTTCCTACAGTCAGGAGACTTAGCTTCTTCCAATCAGGAGCCTTATAGCACTGATGTCAGCTGACCCGGAACAAACTAATTGGAATACACCTCCTTGGAGGTGGAGCCTGTAGGCTCAAGATTCAGCAGAGACAAACTGTCTGACATTCTGAGCTCAGAGGCTGAATCCTCAAAGCCAAGTGTTCTTAATTTGGGGGTTAGAAAATTGGGGGAGGGCATCTTATAAATGGGTGTGTGTTATAAATGGAAAATACAGTACTTGCTGTGTGGTCTCTGCAACCAAAAGTCTGAACTGGGCCTCTCTCCCATGTACAGGAGAAAAAGCTGTTTTTGATCGGAGACTTTGTTAGAAGCACACATTTAGGTCCCGAGTGAAGTCATGTATCAAATGCAGGAATACTGCTGCAGCAGAGCGATCCAGCTATTACCTACTGTTTTGTAAATCACATCTCCATAGTTTGCCAGGATGTTCAAATTTACTGTTTGTAAAACTAAGCAGACTGGTTGTTTGGATTACATGTTTAGGCTATGATATCATGTCTCATGAAGAATCCTTTAAAGCTTCATTATTTAAAAGCCTAATTTCAGAAGCAAACATTACTGTTACTGATGGCGGAAGAATTGGCCAAGGCCTGTTCTGTTTTATGAGGCACAGCCCACGCTGTTTGAGAGGGCAAGGGATGTTCCTCTTGGTCTAGATTCTGTACTCTAGAATAAGAAGGGAGAGTTTTTCAAATGGTATCTGAACCAGAACCAAGACTGTGTTGCCAGTTTTACTGGCCTTGTACCATTGGTTTCCAGAATTATGTCTCCAGAGGCCATTCTAGTTTGGTAAATCTTATTAAGTTTTTCCTTCACCCTTTAGCACATAATAATCTAGATTAGGTCAGATACAACAGCTGGGAGGAGGATGGATATTGCCAAACTGGATGAAGCAAAGGGACGCTCCAAATAATGGGTAATGTAGTCCTCCTGGTGGCATCCCACAGTCTTAAGCAGAAGGGGAACTGTATGGTTTAGTGCTCCTCAACATCAGAAACTCACTGCAGCTGGAAAGGTCATACATAAAGGGGGAGAGATGCAATTCTACAGTACTTCCTGGCATGCAAGTTTTCTGAGTACTGGGAGTGGTGATTCTGAGAAAGACTATTCCACTACCAGCAGTTTTAATTGGGCACAGTCACAGGAGGATAGCATGATGTGTGTTTTTCTGAACTTCTTAACTGGATTCAGTCTTAAGAGTCAAACATTCTGTGATGCTAAATGCATCTTTGCATCCGAAGTTTGGGATTCAGTGCTCTTCTTTTTAAAACCTAACGATTCCAACCGAGAGAGGAAGAGAACATTTGAATTATTTCTTCCCCCTAAGCAAACGTTATATTCAGAAAAACAGCTTTTCAGGTCCAGCTGTAATATTAGTAATTTGTAGGAAACAGAATTTGGTATTTTGGCTCAGCAATTTCCAACTTACTCTCTTCAAGGGCATCTTGAGTGTTGTTCCCATACGCAGTCAACCAGCAAGGCCAGGGGACATGCTGGGTGGGATCATGGGATTCGTAGTCCAACACATCAGGAGACTACTGGTTTAGGAAAGGCTGCTTTAGCCACTTGTACTGAATATTTTTTGGCCTCATTGTTCCATGTTGATCCAACCTGAAAAATAAAATATTTTGTATCTTCAAACTTAATACAGGTATTTTTGTCTCGAAAGTTCCCAATTGAAATAATTTTCTCTCTGTGTGTGTTTTTTAAAAAATGTCTAGAATGAGAAATATGTGAGTTCCATATGCACTGATGTCAGAATTATTTCGTCTGTCTCTATGGAGGCTTTTAATTGGATGATTCATCAGTTTTCTGGCTTAATTTGCCAATGTAAAAGGACTTTGGTTAGAAAATGTAAAAGTATTAACAGGTTGTTATTTTCCATTGAATCTACTGAGGTAAACCCTCTGCTAATAGCAAATATGAAGAAATAAAAGTATAATTGTTTTTAAAAAGCACACTGGAACACTGGCAGCCAAATTAAGTGCCTTTGCTTAAGCTGCCACAGAATGACATAAGAACTGACTTAGTGGATAAAACTAAAGCTAGTCACAAATGGTGATTAGAATTCTGATGACAACTTCTCAAGTAGAAAAGCTTGGCGAAACGTTAGGAAGAACAACCTTCAGAACACGGCCAAAGAACCCGAAAACCCCACAACAACCTTCTCCTCAATATTGGTCCCTAGCGTTTAGTCATCAGATACAAACCTCTTCTGAATGTGTTTTGCTGTCAGTTGTTATGGTTAACAGCCATTCATTATGTTGATGGTATTAAATATTCAAAATGTTTTAGCGAGAAAGGGCTCTTTAAGGTAGGCCTGTCATATTTACTGGTATACTTAATGCTACTGCTGAGTTTGTGGCTGAGATGAATGTGGACCAGCAATCTCCATCTTAATCATAGTTCATCCTTTTACGTAGGAATGACATGCACCAACATTTCCAGTATGCCTAAAAATGTTGGCTGGTATAGCTGTTCGGCAAGTTTGGCTTATTTATTTTGGATGCTGCTTTTCATACAGTCAACCCTCGACGTACAGACTTAATCCATTCCGGAAGGAAGTTTGTAAGTTGAAAAGTTTGTAACTCGAATCAGCATTTCCCATAGGAATGCATTGAAAACCAATTAATCCGTCCCGGCTGTTTTTGGTTCTTAGGTCGAGGGGCGGTTTGTAAGTCAAAGCATGCAAAGCTGGTTAATCCGTTCCTACCACTAGGGGCAGATTTTTTTCTTTTTTTCTATCAACCTAAGATGGTGTAGGTTAAAAAAAGGCAGGAAACCACGGAGGGAACGAATGCTGTTTAAAAAGAACACTTTTAAAATCAAGCACCTTTTATTTACACCAAAACAGGTACCTTTTCAACCAAGCACCTTTTAAATCAAAACAAGCAGCTTTTAAAGCAACCAAGCACATTTTTACCCAAGCCCAGTTTAACCCAAACAAAGCACCTTTTAAACTAAATACCAATAAATCTTAGTTGATTCTCTATATAATAATTTTTTATATTAGGAATACTTAAACCTCCAATTTTTTGAGCCTTACACCAATATCTTTTATTTATTTTTGATTTTTTTACCTTGATTACAAAATCCATTAAGTAATCCCTGCCAATACTTAAAATCTTCTAATTGTATTGGGAGCATCTTGAATAAAAAAAATTTTTTTGGTAATATTTTCATTTTGATCATAGCGATTCTCCCAAACCACAATAGTTTCAATTTAGAATACTCCTGCAATTTATCTTTAATAACACTTTTTAATTTGTTAAAATTTTGCTTCTTTAATTTTGAGTCACTTTAACTATATACCTAAATATTTAATATAATTACACATTTTAAAACCATATTTATTTACAAACATTTCTTGTTCAGATCTGTTATAATTAAACATCATTATGTGTGTTTTTTGCCAGTTAATAGTTAATCCTGTTATTTCCCCAAATTTTTCTAAATTATTTTTAATTTTATCCATACTTTCTAATGGGGTTTTAAGAGTTAATAATGAATCATCAGCAAATAAATTAATCTTACTTGTATCATTGTTACCTAATCCTTTAATTAATTCATCATTTCTTATTGCTTCATCTAACAGTTCTATAATGATTTTAAAAAATCATTTATTTTTATCAGCTATGTAACAGTGCTTGAAAGAGAAGACAGAAGGTGTACCTGACACACTCTCTGGCACTGTTTTTATACAAATACTTGTAAATCATAAAATAATTCTTAGGGGCTGTTATCATGTTTGTGTGTCTTCTGTTCACACAATGATGTTGAAAGTGATTAACTATAACATGCCTACAGAGTTTTTTTTTTACATGATTGATGAAAGAGCGTAAATTCACATTGATATAGGAGTATTTTAAAAACCTATTTTGATATGAAAAAGCTGGTATGTACATTTCAGTGGCTTCTCCCCTCCACATTCTTTAGCATCTTATTATAAAGCAAATTATGTTCTTCTATAATCTATAGTATACTGTGGCATTAATTTAGTAGCAGGAATAAATCACTGTGAAGGGCTTGAGATCTTTAGTAACTTTTTCATTCAAGTAGCATTGAAAATTAAACCCACACACCAAACTAGAGGGAGTTAGTAAGCTACGACTATGGTTCTATACAGATTTACTATTGATCTTGGGGCTCAACTCTTCTGAGGAGAATCTCATAAATCAGATCACAAGACAGAGGGTTATACTCCATAGCGCACACCTCCTCTCTTCCACCCACACTTTTGCCTGTAGAATTACAGTGTTTTTTTTTTTTAAGTGTGGAGTCCCTGAAGTTCTGTAATCCAAAGTCTGTTTACAAGTGGGGTTTGGCTTAACAAGGCGGGGGAATTGTATAGTCTTATGTACTCTCACAACAACTGGAGTACCAAAATTAAATCCAGAAATTTACGAACTATGGAGTAAAGTATTGCTGCTATCTTCTGTTGAAGAAGT